ATAGCAATATCATAATTTTTTTTTAATTAATACTTATATTTTTTTTAATGTTATTAAAAATTTTATTAATGTTAGCAACTATCAAGACGAATTTAATAATCTATTACAATTTAATAATAAAAAATTTTATATAATATAATATATAATAAATTCAATATAATGAATTAAAATATATGTTGAATTTTGTAATAATGAACAAAATTATGACAATTCTTCTTATTTTAGAAATTTTTGAAAATTTCAATAATTTATCTTAATCGATTAAAAAACATTGGAAATTTCATTTTGCAAAAAACTCGCTGTCTTTTTTACTTATTTTATCTTATTATATAGATTTTTAATAGATTGATGGAATATCTAAGATCGATTCTAAAGATCAAAATAAATGTAAAAGTTGATATACGAAATATCAATTGTAAATATTTATTACCATTATATATATATTATATATAATGGTATAAATCTCTAAATGTTTTTTATTGTAATAATTCAATAATTGCAATTTTTATCAATTTTTATCTTAACTTTGAATATTCGAAATCTTATTCTATGAAAAGTAGATATTCTATTCTTTTTAATTAAAATTATAAAATTTAATTATAAAAGTAATTCATTAATTATATTTTCATTAATTATAATTTATTTGATTTATAATTAAAAAATATTAAATTATTAACTTCAAAATCAAAAAATTTTTAAAATTTAATCATATAAATTTAATAAGTTTTTTAGTAAAATTTCGAAAAAATAGAATTTAATTAATATTTCTCATATAAAATAAAAAGAAAAATATCGTTTACAGAATTCTCCAGTTATATTAAAAAATATGTTAAAAAAAGTTATATTAAAAAAAATTAAGAATTAGGACATTAAAAGCTCATTCTCGTTTTTGAATAAAAAAAAATACTATAAAATTACAAAAAATCATTAGAAATTAAATTTTTTTCAATACAAAAAATAAATTTATAAATATTTATTTCATTAATACTATTTCATAATACTATTTGATATCAAATTAAGTTACAAATTAAATAATTTTTCTTATATTTTCTATTCAATGAACAATTTTTAAAAATTCTTTTTAATAAAAATCTTAATAAAATCTATTTTTATTGTTTTATATCTATTTAAATGTATATTTAATGAAATATTGCTGATATAATATATAATTACATTCAATGTTAACATATAATGAAAACTTTTTAAACTTAATTTGAAAAAAGATAGCCAAATAATTTTTTTAAAACTCTTATTTTATTGAAAATAAAATTTATTTTTTATTATGAATAAAAATATAAATAATTCTTTTTTTCAATGTTATTTTATTTTTTCTCTCCATTAAAAATAAAGTTTGCGTAATATCGATTTTATAAGCTTTTCATAAATGTCGTAATATTGTATTATAAACAAAGAAAAAGTTTCGAGTCTGAATATCTTGAAAAATAATTTGGTAAATATATTAACATTCCAAATAACTTTTCAATTGCTTATAATTTAATAAATAATATCAACTAATATTTTTAAATTTAAAAGTTATAACTCTAGAATTTAAAAATATCCCATTATATATTATAACATTCATAACACTCTATAATAAATCATTAAATTTGTCTTGAAAATTGTTATAAAGTATGATAAAAATATAAGTGTCAATTTAGAAAATAACATCGTAATGACATTTCACGAATGCCATAATTTATTACAAATTAAAAAAATTTATTCTGGTTTTCATATTGCACTTTGTTTTTTCTATTTTTTTTTAAATTTGTTATTTATAAGAAAAATACTGAAAAGTAATAATATAAATACTTTAAATATATGTATAATTTTATTTTAAAATTTATATTATAAATAATAAAAAAATATCTTTTAATTATCATTGTAAAATATGCTAATTGAATTGAATTTGATATTAGATAATAAGAATTTCAAAATCAAAAATCTAAGTTAGTCGCGAATTCTCGAGTCTTAAAACTTCAAGGACAAAAACGGAATGCTTTATCGATTAATCAATAAACTGACCACTTCTAATGACTAGTGGTTTTAATGCTTAGTGGTATATGTTAATAATACATGAGATTAGAAACACGCGAATAGTAGATTCGGTGCGATAGTGACATTATGTTATATATATCCAAATACATTATAATATTTCACATTATATTAAATTCACTACGCAAAAAAGCAAAATGCAATATATATTATGATTCTTTAATTGCAAAAATTCAAACAATAGCATTCTTAAAATTAAATGCAGGCGTAAGTTAATGATCAATGGAAATAAAACTTATTTCTCTAAAATTCTGAGATTATATGTATATATGTGCATATTTCAATTTGACAATAATTTAAATTTAATAATTTATTTATTAATTATGTAATAATGGCTGATCCATTATTATAATAAACGAAAAAAAGATAATAAATTGTGGCTTTTTATTTTTATTGTCTGATTATTAGGATCTAAAATCTATTAAAAAATAAAATAATAAAAATTATATAATAAAATGTATTGTTACATATATGAATACATTATTATAAAGAAACGAATGGATTAATAATTCATTTTCAAAATAAGCAATTTATTTTTTTAATAGAAAGTTTCTATTGACAATATTTTATTTACATTAATAATTAAATTATATATTGAAAGTTAAAAAGAGATATAAAAATATATACGTATCAGAATTTTAATAAATTTCATATATGCATAAATAATTATGCATGAATTTATTCTTCTATTTATATGTACTTTGCAATGTAATCAGAGCAAAAAATATCCTCTAAATAATAAATCTATTAGTAATAATTCATAATATATACGCTAATATTATTAGTAATATTATTATATACTATAAATGATAAATACTATAGTAATTTTTTTTGACAAAGAGTTCCTAAAATATGATCAAGATTGACAAATAAATACGATAAATCGCATAACATATTATATATATTTAAAAAAGATTCGTAATAATCTTGATTTAAGTTTGATTATTTAATTTCTTTTTTTTTTGAAATGATCACTATTTCCTTTATTCGATATTTCGAAGTCTTGATCATAAAATCTCTTAGTTTCAAGATCTTAACTTCCTTGATTTCTCAAGGAAAACAAGATATTGATGATCAATCATTTTTTTTGACATAATTAGATTAAAAATTTATCACTGTTAAATTAAATTAAAATTTTATTATAAATATTTAAATAATAAAAATTTTAAAAGTCACTAATATAATTGATATTTTATATTTGAGTATCAAATTAGAACTTGTTCAGACAAGAAAATATCAGATAATAGATAAAGATATATAAATATCAAAATTTCAGAAAAAAATTATAATTATTTATCTATATGATTAATCAAATTCAAAAATTATAATTGAATATATAAAATTAATTTAAGAGAAAATTATCAAATTAATAGGAGATAATAAAAAAATTGTAATGTAATAATAAATTATTAAGAAATTTTTAGAACAGTATACCTGATACGATGTCTACGTTGACTACAATAGAAATATTGACGACAAATCGTTGAATCGTGGTTCATCTTGAATACATGTTACGTCAATGGTGTCAATAACCTTTCGTTGCCATGAGGTTTAAATTGATTTTTCTCTTTTTTTAATTTCTTTTTTTAATTCTACTAATAATCAATATATAAAACAAAACAATCGATTGATTTTATATTCAATTTCAAACAATAATGATAGAAT